TTTTTGTAACTGTCAGGTTAATTTTATACTTTTTACATCGTAAAACAGTTGAATCATGTCAAGATCTGCAGAAGACCCTGCATGGCAACATGGGGTCAGACTTGATCCCAACAAAAAAGATAAAATTATTTGTAATTACTGTCAAAGAGTGATAAGTAGTGGGGTATATAGGTTCAAGCAACACTTAGCAGGGGTTAAGGGAGAAGTTTCTGCATGCACTAGTGTCCCTAGTAATGTAAAAAAACAGATGGCGGCAATTCTTAATGCTAACAAAAGTAAAAAAATTGCCAAACATAGTATGAATGAGGAGATAGCTAGTTTATATACGTCATCAAGCAGGAATGATACAGAAGAGCAATATAATAATGACCCAAAAGAGCAATATAATAATGAGCCGGACATGGCCACAAGATTGAGTTTACATGAACAATATCAGAGGGAACGTAGGTTTAGAATGCCCGGTGGGTCTAGCTCAGACATCCATGGTGGGCCTAGCTCAGATATGCATGGCGAGCCCAGCTCGAGCATGTATGGCGGGCCCAGCTCAAATATGTATGGAGGGGTTGGTGGCAATATGTATCAAGGAGAATCAGATGTTGAAGAAATTGTTTCTAGGTTACTTAAGAGTGCCAGTATTGCAAGTCATGGTCGTAAAAACCCATTTCTCTCAAAGCCTAAGTCACAACAGATGACCCTAAAAGGCATGGTTAAAGGTACAAGAAACATGTTGGGGAGATATGTTGGTAAATGGTTCTACGATAAAGAGATTCCCTTTGATGCAGCCAATGACCTATATTTTCTACCTATGGTTAGTGCAATCCAGAGAGTCGGGCCCGAGGTAAAACCCCCTACGGCATATGAGTTTAGTGGGTCAATATTAGATGAAGAGGTGGAGGAAGTTAAAAAGTGGATTGAATAATATAAACAGAGTTGGCCAAGGACAGGCATCACTCTCATGAGTGATGGTTGGTTGAATAAAGTTAGCAAAAAAGAGTTTTTAAACTTCTTGGCCTATTCCTCAAAAGGTACAGCTTTTTTGTCTAGCAAAGACGTATCAGGGACGAAGAAGGATGCAAACTTCTACGTACGACTATATGATCTGATAGTGAACAAGGTGGGAGATAAGCATGTAGTCCAGTTTATTACAGACAATGAGCGTGTATGTGTTTCTGCGGGCAGCAAGTTGATGGATAAGAGGAAGCATCTAGTATGGACCCCGTGTACTGCACACAGCATCGTTCTTATGTTAGAGGAGATTGGTGAGATCAAAATTGTGAAGGAGACTCTAGAGGAAGCAAGGTTGGTGTCGAGATTTATATACAACCACTCTAAAATTTTATTTCTGCTTAGAGAACACTCTAAGAAAAAAGAGATAATCAGACTGCCATAACCCGCTTTGCGACCGATTACTTAGCTGTGGACTCCATTCGAGAATCTGAAGCTGCATTAAAGAGATTGTTTACCTGTGAAGAGTGGTTAAATGACCGCCTCTCGAAGTCCAGTACCGGTATAAAAGTGGACAAGATAGCCTCAGATAGGCGGTTTTGGTCTTGATGTTCCAGTGTTGTAGAGGCAACTACCCCTTTGGTCACAGTGTTAAGAATGGTGGATGCTGATAAGAAAGCTACCATGGGTATCCTTTATGAAGGTATTGAGAGGGCGAAATCAGCTATTGGAGAAAAATGTAATTTTACTAGCAAAGTAATCGAGATTATAAAAAAGAGGTGGAACACCAAATTTGGACGTCCAATTCATTATGCTGGTAAATATATATTTATATCATTACAATGTTTCATTTTAAATCATTTTTTTATGAAATTGTAAATGACATTTTTCTACCTATATATTTTGTAGGTTACTACTTCCACCCAAAATTTTCTATTTGACACCTGAACAACCCCACATGATTATGGAAGGGGTCAGATACATTATTGCAAGGTTGGAGAGAAGCCATCGAAACCAAGTAGCAACAATACAAGAGGTATTATTTAATGTTTGGGTAAGAACTTCATTGAGTTGTTATATTTGTGAGGAATAATGCACTAAAACGTAATATATTTGTTTTAGCTTGCTATGTATAGGGATGCTATAGGATCTTTCGGAACTAGACTTGCCAGGAATTCTTGAACTATGATGGATCCAGGTTATCCCCTCGCTAATATTTTGTCCATTCATATATTTAATCTTATGAATTGTTCTTGCCCTTACAATGCTTTTTGCATTTTAATCCAGCTGAATGGTGGGAGATATATGGTACTGACGCACCTCACCTAAAGAGGATAGCAATCAAGGTGCTCTCTCAAACATGTTCTGCTACTGGCTGTGAGCGCAACTGGAGTACATTCCAATGGTTGCACACTACTAGGAGGAATCGACTCGCTTCTGAGAAGCTTCATAAACTAGTCTACGTTCATTATAATTTAAACCTCCGAGAGCGACAAATAAGAAGGAAGCTTGAAGACTATGGGCCGATAGACTTAGACACAATATTTGTCACAGACTCAGCAGACCAATGGGTAGTAGAAGAGGAGGAGCCAGTGTTGCACAAGAGAGAGTTCCTTGAGGCTATCGGTGATGAAGATCTTGAAGAAAGTGAAGAGCAGCATGAAGGGAGGAAGCAACCAGCCAACGTATCCACAATTCGTCGGAGATGTCGGTGATATTGCACCTAATGAGGGAGAGTGGGAAGGAGGTCTAAGAGAAAATGAGAGAGATGATGATTCTGAGGCCACCCTATCCCAGCCATAATATTCACATATCGAGTCCTAACAGCAACAGTGTAGGGATAAGCACGACAGTGCACGTGAGCATGAAGGAT